GACAAGAGGAAAATTCGTTTGATGGTAAACTTCGCGGGAAAATTAATGCACCATCCGGGAGTGGTCTTTTGAGCTTTAGTTTCCATTATAAGTCCCTTTGCGCAAATTTGGATCGTTCGGGGATTATAAAGAGGAAAAAATGAGAGAAAATAAATGGATAGAGTCAAATTTCGGAGGAAAAATTTTTTCTCATTTCTTTTTTCGTCTTTTTTATTTTCTGGGAATGGCTCCTTCTTGTAGGGAGTCAATATGCCAGCCTCGACGGTATTAATTAGACTACACTTTGCCAAAGTTTGTTTGTTTGTCGTTGTCGAATCTAACGTGTAATTTCCCTTGAAATATAATGGTGGCAATGTTCTTCATCTCAATCTACTAAGCTTTATTAAAACAAATGAGGCTGCTAAGATTACAAATTTTCCTTTTCTCCTCTAAATATGTCATTTCGACGATTAAAAATTAACTTAATAAGCTAACGTAAAGCAGTCATGCAAAAAATTACGTTTAACTTAATGGAAATGAATTGAAACTCTGATGCCCTTCTTTTGCCGGTGTTCACCTTCTTCAATTGCAAAACCATCTTTAAATTGAAAATACTTCGATTTATGAAAACTATTTCAATATCTTATTGTTCGAACAATCATGCATATCTTTAAAACAACGAAAAGAATCACAGTTAGGAACTCTGCCTCGCTCCCAAAATGAGGCTTAAGTGTCTGGGGGTCACGGGTTTCGAATCCCGTGGAAGCCTGGCGTTTATCAGGCTTTATTTCTTTGATTTCTTTACTTGTAGTTTACCTGCAACGATTATTTCTTTGCATGCTAGAAAATATTCAAAAAAAGAGAAAAAAATCAATACTTCAGCCATTGTTGCCCTCAAGTTTTGGTTTGCCTTAGTAATTGTGCAACACTAACAATCTAAAATTCGGGCTAAGAGGTGACCTGTAACCTTTGCTGTTCTCTGGTACTTTGTGCGGGTCGAGATAATTAGCAGTTGGCGCGAATCTCAGCTAGATTAAATGGGTCAATTTTTATGTGTAAAAAAAGTAATTGATTAAAAAAAAAAAATTAAGATTTATCATTGATAACACGCCCCGTGTCCTGGCTTAAGCCAAACATACACCGGAATAATTGGTATTGCAATTGGAAACTTGAATTTGACGGTTAGACTTTCGCATCAAGGAATTAAGAAATTCTTGATTTACTTTTCAGCAATTCTCTGACGAATTTTGACCCGGGTAACCTACCCACGAGACCAACGTGAAGTCGACAGGTTTTTACGTATTTTTTCAGTGTTTTTCTTTAGAGACTTTACTTTACTGGTATTTACTGAACTGCATCAGTGCAATTTCCTTTTATGGCATCTGTTCGTGTTCATCTTGACCCTCAACTTCAGTTATTGATGCTTCTTCTCCTTGGGATCTGAAATCAAAGGAACATTACAGTCATTGAACTAAACAGCGTTTTGATGACGTAAAGTTGTTGGCGTGAAAGGATTTTATAGGTTTTGTTTTCGCGGCTAAAAGGAAAGACGAATAAAACCGGAGCAGAGTAAATCAGATCACTTGCGTAAATTCATCTCCGAGAATGATTTTCATCACTCTTTAAAAAGCGAAGTTTACCAACCTTTTATATCAGCTTATTGCAGATAACTGTACGGTAACATACATTCAGTAAAATTCTGTATAAATATTGCTACTTACGATTCTTTACAGATTTGTCCAAAATCGACTGTGACGTCATCACCAATGAGTACAAACGGAGCCCAGAACCGCGGGGCATTGAACTTTTGTGATTCTCGCAGACATTTCATCGCCCGATTGAGTGACACACTGGCGCTGTTTCCATCCTTCAGATGTTGGTAAAAGCTTCTCATAAACTCCATGGTGGCCTCGTCATCAATTGACCAGAGTGCGACCAGAACAGAACGAGCACCAGCACCGAGAAAAGCCCGTGCAATGCCGACCACACCCTCACTTGACACTTTGCCCTGTGCACTGTGAGCACAGCTTAACACAACAAGCTTTGCACGCAACTTAGCTGCTTGTACATCTGAAATGGTTAACATGAAATCTGGTTCTTCCGGTCTTCTGTATTTTCGTTCTGGATTTGGAGCCAATGGAATTTCCCCATTGTCGATTTTTCCGTGCGCAGCAATGTGCACCAAAGCAACCGAACCGATTCTCTTTAGCACCTCAGCCTTGGTTGCTGCTTTTCCGGTGAGTGGCTGGATACCGAGCATCGCTCCGATCATCTCCACTTCCTTTTTGGCGAAAGGCAAGGATGAAAATTTGTCCTCTCCCAGCAAGGTGGTAAATTCTTCTAGATTTGGATCTCCTACGAGTAACGCCCCACTCTTTTGGTGATAATCTTCAGGAGAATCGTTAATCAGTTTCATACACATCAATGACGGAAGAAACCGCAATCTCACGGATTCACTGAGGTACTTTGATTCGGAATCCAAAAATGCAGCAAAAGGGGCGAGGCACAGTGGACCATCAGGAACGACGACCAACTCACCATCTTCGATGAAATTTGAAATAGGACTTATGATGCACTCATGAAAGAGACGTAGAGGATTCTTGTCAGACTGTAATAGGTTTCCTGTTTCTTCACCGGCGGGTGGCAATTCTTGTTCGGTGCTTGTCTCATCTAATGTGCGGTTTTCACAGACTACCGGTACACGGAATTGTCCTCGTACTTCTTCATAAGCCTTCTTCCTTAAACTCTTTAAATAGTCGGTCGCACCTCCCAAGCGATATTTTACTTCCTTCTGTGTAAACTGTACATTTCCGTCTTTCCCGATTACCCACAGGTTAACTGCGTTTTCTTGTAGTGCAACAAAAAGCGTCGGACCAGAGATATTAGTGACCATTTCGAAGATCCCTGGTTGAACCTCAGCTGATCCAGAAACTGGCAGTTGGGAGCCATATCGTAGTTTGATGAGATCTAACAAGGCTTGGGCTCGTCCTTGGTCCGCAACACACAACGCCTCGTCGAATTTTGACAGCTTAAGCAAAGTTCTCCAGAGAGCATTATAACTGCATTGATGTGCATTGCGGAAGGTTACTTTCAACTCATCTTTAGCTTGAAGAACTCTTAACTGATTGAAAAATCTAACACTGCGTTGATAATAATCAACCGCTCGGTGCAAGTCACCAGAGCTTTCAAAAATAAGACCCATTTTTTGGAATGAAAATCCTTCGCTCATTTCCTCCCCTGTTTTCTGGCGGAGGTTACGAGCTTTCTTGTGATACTCCATGGCTCGTTCAAAGTCGCACTTTTGGAAAAAGAAATCGCTGAAGGCCCACAAGGCCTTTGACTCGATGGACCGGTCTCTCAGTTCTTTGGCAATGGTAAGCGCTTTCTCAAGGTACTCTTTTGCCAACTTAAAATCAGCGCGTCGAGCATAAACCATTCCAAGAACGGAATAGGCGGAAGCCTCTCGTCCCTTATCCCCACTGTCCTTAGCGAGATCAATCATTTCCTGAAAAAATTCCGTAGCTTGAAACAATTTACCCAGGCTGAAATAACTTGAACCAAGGCATTCTAAGGAGGTTAACCTGTCTGCTTGATCTTGGGCAATGTTTCTACATAACGTGGCGTACTCGATGGCTTGATTGAGATCACCCAGCTTGTAATAATCCATACCAAGATTTTTGTAGGCCCTTCCCACGCGTGTTCTGTCTCCCAGTTCTTTAGCGATATTAAGATACTGCCTGTGGTGCTCTATTGCTTGATTGAAATCATGCAGCTCAAGGTAAGCCAAGCCGAAATCTTCGTGGGCTTGTCCCTCGCCTGCCCTGTCTGCCAGTTCTTTAGTAATACTAAGATTTTTCCTGGCATACTCTATGGCTTGATTAAAATCACCAAGCTTGTGATGAGCCGAGCCAAGGTCGTGGTAGGCACGTCCCTCGCCTGCCCTGTCTCCCAGGTCTTTAACAATACTAAGATATTGTTTGTAGTACTCTATGGCTTGATTGAAATCATCCAGCTCGTGATAAGCCGAGCCAAGATCGTGGTAAGCACGTCCCTCGTCTGCCCTGTCTCCCAGGTCTTCGGCAATGGTAAGATGTTGTTTGTGGTACTTTATGGCTTGATTGAAATCGCCCAGCACACGATAAGCCAAGCCAAGATTGTGGTAGGCCCTTCTCTCGCCTGCCCGGTCTCCCAGTACTTTGGCAATAGTAAGATGGTGTTGGTGATACTCCGTGGCTTGATTGATATCACCCAGCTGGTAATAAGCCATGCCAAGATCGTAATAGGCACGTCCCTCGCCAGCCCTGTCTCCCAGTTCTTCGGCAATAGTAAGATTTTGTTTGTGGTACTCTGTGGCTTGGTTGATATCACCCAGCTGGTAATAAGCCATGCCAAGATCGTGGTAGGCATGTCCCTCGCCAGCCCTGTCTCCCAGTTCTTCAGCAATAGAGAGATGTTTTTTGTGATACTCTATGGCTTGATTGAAATCCCCAAGCTTGTGATAAGCCGAGCCAAGATCGTGGTAGGCATGTCCCTCGCCTGCCCTGTCTCCCAGCTCTTTAACAATACCAAGATGTTGTTTGTGGTACTCTATGGCTTGATTGAAATCATCCAGCTGGTAATAAGCCGAGCCAAGATTGTGGTACGCATTTCTTTCGTCTGCCCT